ATCACAAACGACCCCAAATACCCAAAGTAATCCCAAGAAAAAGACCAACACCAAAGATATCCTTGAACAACAGGGCATTTAGGGGTATGAGGGGGTCTCCTTCATACAGTTTAAAATCCTAGTGTAACTTTTGACTCCCCCAATACTTAACTACTAATAAACTACTGTTGACTAGGAGCCTTACCAATAATAAAGAGTTGAGAAACACATATTTTGTATACGTATTATACAGTGTATTCTTAAAATAATCCAGAGAGAAAAAAAATGTTAAGAATATCATGAGAAATACATTTACAGTATTGTAAAAATTTCATGTGTAAGTGGACCCACACAGTTCAAACTGTTGTTCAAGGGTCAATTGTATACTACAAAGCCAGAGTAATAAAACAGTATGGTAGTAGCACAAAAAAAAATAAAAACTCCACAGACCTATAGAACAGAACAGAGGCCAGAATTAAACCCAGGCATATACAGTCAACTAATACTCGACAAGGGAGCCAAGAATACCTGATGGGGAAAGGACAGTCTCTTTAACAAGTGGTGCTGGGAAAACTGGAAAAATACATGCAGAGGACAATGAAATTGGACCCCTATCTCACACCACCCACAGAATTAACTCAAAATGTATCAACCACTTAAATATAAGACCAGATACCGTAAGATTCCTAGCAGACATAGGAGGAAGCTCCTTGATGTTGGTCTTGTTAATGATTTTTCAACAGGATGCCAAAAGCACAAACAAAAGGAAAAATTAACAAATGGGACTACATCAAACTCAGAAGCTGACCCACAAGCAGTAAAAAGACAACCCACAGGGGCCCTGGGTGGCTCAGTTGGTTAAGCGTCTGACTTCAGCTCAGGTCACGATCGCGTGGTCCGTGGGTTTGAGCCCCACATCAGCCTGTTATGACAGCCAGCTCAGAGCCTGGAGCCTGTTTTGCATTCTCTGTCTCCCCCTCTCTCTCTCTCTGCCTCTCTCCTGCTCATGATCTATCTCTGTCTCTCAAAAACAAATAAATGTTAAAAAAGAATTTTTTTAAAAAAGACAACCTACAGAATGGGAGAAATACTTGCAAACCATTTATCAGATAAAGAGTTAATATCCAAAATATATAAAGAACTCATACAACTAAATAAAAAAGAAGTGAACAATCTGATTAAAAGTTAGGCAGGAAAAACTAAATAGACATTTTTTTCCAAAGAGGATATCCAAATGGCCAATTGGCACATCCAAGATGCTCAACATTACTAATCAGGGAAATGCAAGGCAAAACCACAAGTTCTCATCTCACACTTCTCAGAAGGGCTAACATGAAGAAGAGACAACAGGTGCTGGCAAGGATGTGGTGAAAAGGGAATCCTTATACACTGTGGGTGGGCATGCAAATTGTTCTGACGACTATGGAAAACAATATGCTATATCCTCAGAAAATTAAAACTAGATGTACTTATGATCCAGCAATTCCACTCCTGGATATGTACCCAAAGGAAATCAAAATAGAATTTCAAAGAGATGTATGCGTTCCCATGTTTACAACAGTATTATTAACAATAACCAAGATACAGAAACAACCTAAGTGCCCAGCAATGGATGGATAAAAAAAGATGTGCTATAGGTACACGATGGACTACTATTCAGCCATTAGAAAGGAGGATATCCTGGGACGCCTGGGTGGCTCAGTCAGTTAAGCGTCCAACTTCGGCTCAGGTCATGATCATGATCTCACGGTTTGTGGGTTCGAGCCCTGCATTGGGCTCTGTGCTGACAGCCAGCTCAGAGCCTGGAGCCTACTTCAGATTCTGTGTCTCCTTCTTGCTCTGACCCACCCTGCTCACACATTCTCTCTCTCTCTCTCTCAGAAATAAATAAAACATTAAAAAAATTTAAAAAGAAAGAAAAGGAGGATATCCTGACATTTGCAACAAAATGGATGGAACTTGAGCACATTACACTAAGTGAGAGAAGTCAAAGATGAATGCTCTATGGTATCACTTATATGTGGAAAAGAGTCAAACTTGTAAAAAAGACTAAAATGGTAGTCACTAAGGGGATGATGTAGTTACCAGGGATGGGGGAAGAGGATAAGACCAATGTTGTTTAAGGGTATAAAGCTGCTAACAAGTAGCACTGATAAGCCAGAGATCTAATGCACACTATATAGACAATGTTGAACTCTAAGTATGTATGTGAAACGTAAAACGAAACATAAAATAGCAGTCATATCACAATATATAAATGTATCAAAGTCACAGACTGGGTATCTTAAATTTACACAATATTTTATGTCAAATTTATTCAATTAAAAAAAAAAAACAAAAAAAAACACCACACTTGTAGTAAGTTTTCTGAGGACCTGGCTGGGTCAGTCAGTGGAGCCTACGACTCTTGATTTCCGAGTTGTGAGTTTGAGTTCCATGCTGGGCGTAGAAATGATTTAAAATCTTTAAAACGTTTCTAACAAAGCTTTAAAAAAAAAAAAAGGCAAACCATTGCGGGGGTGGTGTGGAAGCAGGGGAGGAGAGTATTCGTATTTTTTATATATTTATCCACACAAACAGAACTTGGAGTTGACAGTTGTTTTATAGCTTTATGACCACTGGATGTGCAGGTGCACTTGGTTCCTTTATCATCGGGGCTATAAAACAGAGACCTATGTGGTTACGTCTAAGCTAGTTAGCCTCCTGTAACTTGCTGGCTTTCCTTCTACTCTCACCTGCAAACCTATGTACCAGCACCACTTGGCTGGTCACAACTCTCCCATGTCAACTGCAGATTCCGGCCTCTTCACTTTTGTCTATTTTATCCTGTTGACTTGGAACTGTTCTCCCTTCTAATTCCAGTTCTCCACAGTTGAGATACCACTTCTCCCTCCAGGATGTTATCCCCTGGTCATCGCTCCTCTCTGCCACGCCTGGCCCATTCCTGTGTCCCCACAGCACTGTGTCCATGTTATCACCACTGTGTTCACCACACAGTGTTGACATAATACAGATGTCTACCACCTACCTGTAAGCATACCTTACATAGTCTGGTATCCTTATCGGCATCTTAAACATAGAAGATACTTGTATTTGAAATGAATTTCAACAGTAATCTTACAACCGAAGTAGATGTGTAACCACATACTCTTCTGCTATAAACTCTCAGACAAGGAAACCGAAGCGGTATTGGCATTTTCATATTTTCAGTTCTCACCTGAGCATATTAAAGGCTGGAGTGGATATTTTAGTTTGACTCCTACCCAAGGGATGGGGTGGGTTTTAACACCATTAAGCTTCTAATTAGGACGTAGAGCCACTACAATGCAAAACGAGTGTCCTACAATTTAATGACCTGAAATTCAAACACAGAGACAATAAAAGTTTAATAGTTGAATGGTGGTTGAGACGGAAGAAATATTTTCCATATCACCAGAGCAGTGATTCCTTGGGTCTTTGGGCTCACTGTTGTGAATTCAATGAAGATACAAAACTGCACATTCAAGCAAAGGTTTACATATAAATTCAGAACATTCACAAATAGCTCCAAATTGAAGAACCCTAAATCAAGAACTCTGTAAAAAATTAACTCAATTAAGAGGCCTAACAAGCTTAGTGCCCAGTCACTGCATTTCATGCTGGTTACCCAGATAAAAGCCCAGAACTCCATTTTGATCCCAGGGGAGGCATAAAAAAGGAATCTCATTAACATGTAGTTAATGTGCTCATTAGTACTCTTTAGAGTATCTTAGTATAGGCCTTGAGACAGTTGAGTCTTGTTGGGTTTAGTTTCTATGTGAGCTTGAGAAAGGCAAATAAATTATGTAATATCATATATCCTTATCGTTTCTTAAAATACACCAATGTCCTATTTAGAAATGCATTTTTTGGACAGATTACGACAAATAGAGCCTTTAGTAACAGGCTGTTAAGGAAAATCTCAGTGTTTCCTTAATAAAGCTGCTTTATTGACTTCAATGGCAAATTTATAAAAAGTTAACATGTCTTGATCTATTCAAAATTATGATTTACATTATTAACACAATGACAATGGCGCATGTACAGTTAATACTGCACTCACCTATATACCGGTAACAGGGCCACGGAGCTCTTCTAAGTTTAAGATTAAAAACCACAATGCCTTGAACTGAATAGCATGATTACAAACAGGTATTATTTAACAACAACATATGCATATGCTATAGAATACTTCTTTTCTGCACTCAGAAACCTCATATACTTCATTAATAATTTGTTCACAGTTTAAAAATGCTTTTGTAATTTTTGCAGTTAACTGACAATGAATGCTTGGGTCTTTCAAAAAATTTTAATGATAGATTACCTCAAGAGAAGTGTACTTAATATGATCAATGTTCGAAATGTCAAAACGCAAAACAAATCCTCTTAAATACATATAAATACTTAAATACAGAAAACCCCCATCCATAATCAAAACAAAGTATATTTAATGGATGTACTGGAAAGGAGAAATGGGCGATTTATGCCAGGGAAGGTTAAAAATGAGACTTTTTAAGCAAACAGTGCCTATGGGACAGCCTCATATTTTGATAATTTAAACCTAATTTTACTTAGATATCTAAGGAATTTTTTTTTTAAAAATCACACCCACAAGTAAAAAATTGGTAATTTGTTGACAAAGTGCAGTATATCAGTACAGCAAATTCATCTCAAAGAAGCAGAGTGTGTGGCTTCCTAGCCTTTAAAACTCCCCTGGTTTCCATTTAGGTGGCTTAACATTTAGTCATGATGAGTAACACAGGAAGCCTGTGTAATGAAGCTTGGGCTCCTTAACACCTGTTATTCATTAATTCCAACATAAGAGAGTATGAGACCTGGAGCGTAAATTGCCAAAATCTAATTGCTGAGGTACAGATTACGTGAATAGAATTTATGACCTGGTACCAATCAGTAATCCCAACATAAACTATTGCTTTGTAATGAACTCTGTATGGTTTGCATGTCCTTCAATAACTGAAGATTTTTTCTGCTTTTTTCGCCAGGTCTTGGTTTGGCAATGTCTTTCTTATTTGTGGTCCCTGTGATTCCAGAAGAACGACTGCTGCTGTTTCCTTCGTCATCAAGAGTCTTTCTGGGGTTTCTCAAGTCCCTCTTCTGCTTTTCGATCTTGTGTTTCTCCAGCTACAGCAAATAACCAAGGCAGGGAAAAAGGAGGATTCAATGAAAACGTCCTCTTCTGACAACTGGTATTTTTAATACTCATTACAAACAAAAATGCAAATAATACATTCTGAGTGTCTTTTTTTTTAAATAAAATCTTCAAAACTCTCTGCTACTAGTGATTTGACACTCAGTGCTTAAAAACAGAAAGCAGCAGACAAATGAGTGAATGCGAGTAAACACATCAATACTGATGCGGTTTCAGAACGTAAAGCAGCGTGTGGCCAAAGTGCAGAACTGAGTGAGTGAGAAACAAGAGGGTTTGCGGGTCCTCCAGAAAACAGAAGAAAGGTGTTCTAGAAACTAGTCTGAGGAGGCAACGAAACTTGTTCCAGATGGATGAAGAGATATATTGGTAATGTATTAATATTAATAAAAGGTTTTTATTATTTCCCTATTTTAGAATAACTTAAAATACCTTATATTTACTTATTTTTAGAGAGCTTTATTTTTACTTTAAGCTGCTGCTAGGTTGGTGTTCCATTAGACTAAAGTTGAGCCTAATATATAAGAAACAAATTAGACCCTTACTTCTGCGGCAATCATTTCCTTTTTTTAAACGTGGACTTCACAAAAACTGCTTAAAAGCAGTTTGGATTTGAAAAGACCCATGTCTGCATTTCAGCCCCGCCATTTACCAGTGAGCTAGTGTGTCCTTACACAGAAGTTACTTAATTTCACTTGAGGCTACACCTACCTCCCAGGAGACCAGCTTATCTATAAAATTGTATACACAGTTCACAAATCTTCAACAAAAATTAAATAAGATGACATATTCACAAGCACTTAACATTGTGACTATTACAGAGCAATCCATCAGTAAAAGTAAACATCAGCTTGCTCCAGTCAATGGAGCAATGGTATCATTGATACCAAATAATATTCAGCAGCAAACTGCCCTCATCTTTCTACTTCCAAGACCTATCTCAGATCTGTCGCTTCTTCCCAACTACACTCATTCATGACCTCTCATCGAGAAGAGCTTCAAAAGCAGCCTAGTTGCTCTCGGCCCCTCTGCCCTGTGTCCAGCCCACTCCCAGTGGTCGCAATAATCTCTGACACAAATCATTACATATTTCTCCAGATGAAAACTCAGGAGTGTGCCTCCCCACTGCACTTAGTAGATATTAAATAAAGGGCTGCTTAATTTAATTAGCAATTATTTTTTTCACATATTTGTATCTTATTCTTTTCGAAATCAAGAATTTCCAGGTGCTTTTTAAAAGACTTAGGAAAATTTGGAACCACTTAAATTCATCATAGAAGTTAAAGTTTGTTCTTACAAAGGTAAGAATATTAAATATATCCAGTATTTGAAAGATGTGTCTTAGATGATAAAATCTACTCTCACAGATTACAAGACGGTGTCTTCCTTCCTAGCCCACTTAACACCAATTCCTAAAGAAATACTTCCTATAGCTCCCTATCTGTGATACATGTAAATGTCATCAATCAACGTATTTGAGGAAAAGGGTTTTTTAGTCCTGCCTTGTTCTTGTTTTATAATCATTAGAAACAAGGAAAGGGAAATGGAGTTACCTGGGATTGATATTTTCGAACTTTAGTTATTTGGTTAGCTTTGGCCTCCATCCTTCCCACTAATGCCTCCAGCTCACACTCTAAGTTGTCTTTCAGTTCCACAGTTGGGGATTCTTGGATAAGTTTCGCAAGCTGCTGGTGATCACTGCATAAAAAACAAAAGTAGGGCTTGGTTAGGCTTCCTTTTTCATGGTTAAGGCCACCATGTCCCACTCACCATCGGACCACTGCTCTGTGCATTAAACAATGACTCAATTTTTTAAACAGAGCAACAAATGGTTTCAAAGTTCAAGAAAGGCACTGGAGGCAAATGTAAAAGCAGTTCTTAATTTCAAAGGCTTAATTATTTTTATTTCACCTCCTATAACATTATACACACATAGAAAGGAAAACCTAGAAAGAAAGGAAGGATCTTGTTCCTCAAATACATCCTAACCTATTTAAGTTTAACTCAATGTATATCAATCAAGCTCCCAAACAAGGAAATAAAACTGTAAACCTTGGTCTTCAAAACATTTAATGCTATTTGAAAAGGGAGAGATATCTCCCAGAATGGTTGTATTTGTTGGAGTCCTAGTACGTTGCTCAGTGGCTGCTGCAAGAACTGTGCTCAAATATTTGCTGAATAAATTAACAACAGTATTAATGAAGTCACCAAGAACTTAAAACGAAGTTTTACAACTAAATATAATTTAAAAAACAAAACTAAAACTCACAAGCTCATTTGCCCAAATTCATCTTGTAAAGTCTGTAAGACTTCTGACAACTCTTCATTAATGCTGCTGGAGGAGGAAGATGTTACTGACACCTTCTTACTTTTACCATTTCGTGAAGAAACTTGCTTTGCCAAAGGAATATTGTTGACCACTCGATCATTGCAGAGGGCTTTACTGTGTTGCTTCATTAGATGCAAGACATGCTGAACGTTGGCTACCACAGCATGGCTAGGACTGGTGGACTGAAGAAAAATGAGAATGAATTGAAGCCACCTTCTCTAAATCTGTTTTCTTATTTACTCCCTAACCTGAGTAAAAAGATCTCTACCCATAAAAAGCTGATGATATAAACTTCCTAGAGTAAATCCAATTACCAAGTCCCATGGACTTAACCTCTGAAATACCTCCAATCCACCTCTTACTCTTCACCATACTATTACTCCCTTGGTGTATGCAACCATCTCTACCAGCTAGAGGAAGATTACAACTGGCTTCCGCTGCCCCCCGTTTCTAACTCAATAATGCTATCAGCTATCTTCCTAAAACAGTATGCTAATAGTAATATCCTATTTGAAATCCTTTGATGTTAAGCCCACTGATGCTAATGTCCAAACTCCTTAGCATAGACAAAGGGTCTATTAATCATTAAGCTGAAACTTATACTCCCTGGCCTTTTGTTTCATCATCCCCTAATTTCTCTGTATTTACATAAACTGTATTATTTGCACATGCCATTTCTTTTGTGTGGCACCGTTTTACCACTCTTTAAAACACAGTTCAAATATATAACTTTTAAAGACTTTCTAAAAACCTCCAGGTAATAAATTGGTCCAATTAATTAGTCCATTCTCAGATCACCTATAGCATTTCTCCCTCTCAGTGCATTTATCACAATATAGTATAATCATGTTTGCATGTCTATTTCACCTATTAAATGGCATATGTACTTCCAGGTAGGGACTGTCACTGCATTCATTTCTCCCTCCTCATATAGCAGGAAGATCTAAGTTCATGCTTGTCACATAAACACTAGGAAAAACCTGGTTCCCCTCTCAAAATTTCTGGTTTTGTTTTTAATATTAAACAATAATCTCAATATGCTATTTTAATTTACAGATGGCTGAGCTAACTTGGCCCCATGGGCATCATCTAGACAGTTTGTTTAAAATGCAGATTCCTAGGCAGCACTCCAAACTCAGCGTGGGTCAGGGCTTAAAAATGTATATTTTGGATTTTGCCAGTTGATTCTGACCAGCCAGGTTTAGAAGCCATTGTGCTAAACTAAACAGATATTCTTTATCCGAGTTTCTGCTGTTAGGTAGCAAATTTGAATCTAGTATTATATACAAAGAAGTATGTATACCCTTGATCCAAGTGGGGTTTATTCCAGGAATGCAAGACTAGTTCAATTATTTAATTAAAAAAAAAAAAAAAAAAAGGCAATGTAATCTAGCATGTCAACAGTAAAAAAGAAAAATCACATAACCATACCATTTTATGAAGAAAAGCATTTGAAAACATCCAACATCCAGTCAGGTACTCTCAAAAAAGTAGAAACAGAGGGAAAGTTCCTACAGCTGATAAAGAGCATTGACAAAGAACCTACAGCTAACATTGCATTTACTGGTGAGACTGAATGTTCTCCCTCCACCTCAGGTCAGGAAGCAGGCAAGGATGTCCACTCTCATCACTCCTGCTTAAATTAATACTGGAAATCCTAGCCAGTGAAATAAGGCAAAAAAGGAAATAAAAAACATACAATTAAAAAAAAAATAAAACTGTCCCTATTTCCAGATGACATGCTTCTCTACATAGAAAATTCTAACCAATTTAAAAAATAATTCCTAGGACCAAGAACTGAATGAAATCACAAAATGTAAGATCAACAAACAAAAACTTAATATGCTAACAACGATCACATAGAAACTAAATTAAAACTAAATACAACTTACATTTGCTCAAAAAATGTGAGTATAAATCTAATAAAATAGATATGGGACCAATATGCCGAAAACCACAAAACACTGATGAAAGAAATCAAAGATCTAAATAAAAAAGCTATACTACACTCATGGTCTAGAAGACTTGACATGATTAAGAATGTCAATTCTCCTAAACTGATCTGTAAGTATAATACAATTCCAACCAAAATTCTAGCAAGACTTTTTTTTTGGTAGAGATAGAAGTTTATTCTAAAGTTTATATAAAGAGACAAAAGAACTAGAGGAACTAAAACAATTTTGAGAAAGAAAAATAGACAAAGAATTACTCTCCCTCATGTTAGACTTACTATATAAAGCAACAGTAATCGAGGCAGTACGGTACTGGCAAAGAGGTAAACATATATCAATGGAACAGAACAAAAAAATAAATCTTGACCTAGCTTAGAAGCCTCATACTGTATACAAAAATCATTTCAAGTGGATCATAGACTTAGACGTAAAATATAAATGAAACATAAGTGAAAACTCTACAGAATGTTGGTCCTGGCAAAGAGTTCTTAGACCTGATAGCAAAAGTATGACCCACAGAAAGCAAAAATCAATTAAGTGAATTTCAGCAAAACAAAAAACTGCTGTGTGCAACAGTTTAAGCAGAAGAAAGAAAAGCTACAGACTGGGAGAATATAATTGCAAACTACATATCTGATATATGACTTGTATCAAAACACAGAACTCACAAAACCTAATAGTAAACAAACAAAAACAAAAACAGGCAAGAAATGTAAATGGGTATTTCACTAGAGGATATACAGATGGTAAATAAGCACATGAGAAAGAAGATGACTACCATCATTAGTCATTAGGGTAATATAAAATAAAAGCACTATGAAGTATCAAACATACATAGCAGAGGGGTGCCTGGGTGGTTCAGTCAGTTAAGCGTCCGACTTCAGCTCAGGTCATGATCTCACGGTTCGTGGGTTCGAGCCCTGCGTCAGGCTCTATGCTGACAGCTAGCTCAGAGCCTGGAGCCTGTTTCAGATTCTGTGTCTCCCTCTCTCTGACCCTCCCCTGCTCATGCTGTCTCTCTCTCTCTCTCTCAGAAATAAATAAAACATTAAAAAAAAAAAAATACATAGCAGAAAAGCTAAAATGAAAGTAATAATCTCAAACGCTGGTTAAAGGATGTGGAAAAACTCCATCTCTCAGACACTGCTACCGGCAATGAAAAATGGTACGGTCACTCAAAAATACTTCGGTAGTTTAAAAACAAGAAATACACTAAACATGCAATTCAGCAATCACATTCCTGGACATTTATCCCACAGAAGTGAATACTAATGTCCACACAGAAACCTGTACACAATGTTCATTCTGGTTTTATTTGTAAACACCCAAAACTGGGAACAACCCAAACGTCCTTCAATAAGTAGGTGCATCATTAAACTGTGGTACTTTCTCACCATAGAATATTCAGCTGAGAGAAAGAAAAGAACCATGGATACACACAACAACTTGATGAATCTCCAGGGAGTTATACTGAATCAAAAGGCCAATTTCAAAAGGTCACATACTGTATGACTTCCATTTGTTAAATGTCAAAATTGTAGATTTGGAATGGTGGTAGTTCCCATCCTACCTGTGATAAAACGACACTGACTTAACTGTACATGTGTGCGTGCACACACACACAAACACACAAAGTACATGTAAAAGTAGAAAAACCTCAATAAGGTCTGTGGATTTAGTCTCCTGGTTATGATACTATACTACCGCTATGTAATATATTACTATTGTGGTAAACCAGATGAAAGGTGCATGGGACCTTTATTATTTTTGCAACTTCCTATAAATCTAGAATCATTTTAAAATAGAAGTTAATTTATGTTTTTATCAAGATAATTTAAATTCAACTACAATTAAATGGTTTAGGTACACCTTCCTTGCAACTATGCAGTTATTAACACAGCCTTGAATATCAAGAACCAAATTCATTTGTCTCATTAACAACTTAAATGCTGATCTACATGGTATTCATTTAAAGTATGAAAATATAGGAGTATGTGAAATCTTCACTTGTAACTTATAATATGTATTCACTATACTATACTAACTGCCTTTATATGCTTCAAAATAAAGAGTATATAGTTTTAAAAATTCTTTTTCTTGTTATTTTTCTGATTGAATTCATTAATAGAATTCTGTTTGCTCAATCTGTAATTTATGAATCAGGATGTGTATTTTGCATTTTTAATTTCATTTTTCTAGTAATTCATTTTTATTGCATTTTACAAATGTACTGGTTTATGACAATGTATAATTAAAGATAGATATTTTGATAGATATTTTGAGGAATACTCGGCTGGGTGACAGCACATTCTTAGCTGCTTGAATAATATTTCACAAAGAGTACAAACAACTTCAGAAAGAGAGCTCAGGTTGAAAGACTGAGCTTTGAACCTGTCCCTTTCAACCTTTATTATTAAACGACTTCAATGAGAATTAGTGAAGATAGGCAATTAAATTTGGGGATAATACAAATAATGAACTAGATTCTAATGTAGGATAGGGTGAGACTCCTTATAGAGTCTCATTTACTTAAAAATTCTGTATAAAATAATTAAATCCATAAACATAGGACTTACAGTAGCTGATGCAAAACTTCAGGAAACTACCTGTTACTTCAGATGACTTTAAGAGGCACCTGTTTCTTCAGATGACTTTAAGAACCAGGGTGGCTCAGTAGGCTAAGCGGCCAACTTCAGCCCAGGTCATGATCTCACAGTTCGTGGGTTTGAGCCCTGCATCGGGCTCTGTGCTGACAGCTCAGAGCCTGGAGGCTGCTTCAGATTCTGTGTCTCCCTCTCTCTCTGATGCTCTCCTGCTCACGCTCTCTCTCTCAGAAATAAATAAAATTTAAAAAACTACAAAATAAGTAAACATTAAAAAAATTAAAAAAAAAGAAAAAAGAAAAAGAGGCACCTGAGTGGCTCAGTCAGTTAAGCAGCCAACTTCAGCTCAGGTCATGATTTCACAGTTCACAAGTTCCAGCCCCACACTGGGCTCTGTGCTAACAGCTCAGAGCCTAGAGCCTGTTTCAGATTCTGTATCTCCCATTCTCTCTCTGCCCCTCCCTGACTCATATACTCTCTCTCAAAAAAATAGACATTAAAAAATTTTTTTTAATTAGTGAGAGGAATGATTATGAAGTTTCCCCCAGAACAGTAATATGATGCTAGGCTGTGTCGACAGACTCCCAGAATGTGACAAAGACAATAGTCTATATATATATACAGATATAGATAGATAGATAGATATAGACTATAGTCTGTGCTAGTCACACCACATTTAGAGGGTTGCATTCAATTTAGAAAGGAAGAGAGTGATGAGATGGTAAAGAAACTCACAGCTGAAAAAAAAGGAAGTGTTTGTTTATAACCTACAATAGAATAAGGAGATGAGAATAAAGTTATTTTCAAAAGTTTAAAAATTTCAAAAATTTAAAAATTCTCAAAGGCTCATGTGGATCCCTGAGAGCAGAAAAACAGCAATGAATAGAATTTACACAGTGAAAGATTTCAATTCACTTAAAAATTTTCGAATAAAGTGGTCTAGAAATGTATTAATGAGGGCTCATCAGCTGTATCTGAACAGAGTACAACACTGCTTTGGATGTTTACATGATGGAAACAGTGGGCAGAGAACTTTACTAAGTGGGTCCCAAAGCCAACTCAACATTAGACTGAAATCAGGGAACAATAAAAACAAACATACACATAACTTTCTAGGTCCCCATCCAGAAAATTCTGACTTAGTAGGACTGTGGTGGGGCTTCATAATCTTGTTTATCAAATGCAGTACTCAGTGATGCTTAATGCAGCTGGTCAGCCCTTGAGAACCTATATTTCCAATCCAACACATATTTTACAGTGAAGCAAAAGCAGCTTGACAGAATTAAGAGACAAAGGAAGAAACATAGGTTAAAAGATAATCTGTAATCCAACAAGAGGTTAAATTTAGGGTAAAGAACAGCATAGAACCAATGGTAACATATATTTTCTATACATATATATATGTATACATATATATACGTGTGTATATATATATAAGTGATTTGTGCCTCACACATCCACAAAGGGCAAGTGGAAAAGCTAGAAATTAGTTAATTCTCTAAGCTTTCACCGAGGATTTATTGTGGGGGGTAAAACAAATAAATAAATAAATAAAATTAAAATCTATTCCCTAAGCCTCTCAAACTCACTACTTAGTTGGTATTCAAGGCATCTATGCATGAAACAACCAGTAACACAGAGCTAATGAAAAAGTGCTATAAACTAACACAGTCCTAAGTACTTATTAGAAATCACTTAGTACTTGCTAATATAGGACAAAATTACCCACCTCTACATTTAAGCACTGAAGGAACATAAGAGTCAGGTCTATTTATGAATGCTTTTTGGGGAATGATGCATGTGAGGACAAATAATATGTGAATTCTATTTATTTAAATATCTACCATATTTAAACATAAATAAGTAGGACTGAAACTAAAAATCCAATGCTACAAGTATACTGTTTCCCATTTCATTTACTGTTATCTGCAACCACACCTTCTCCAAACCAAGGGTCTCTGATATTGTTCATAACTTCCCTTCCACAAATACTTTATCTGCTTTTAAGTCCTCATAACCTTTTCCCTGCTCCCCCAATCCCATAAAACCTTCCTCCATCTCTTTCTCACATCACTATGATCCATACAAGTAAAAGCTCAGAAAAATGTTTTCACCATTTACAGGCACACAGGCAGATGTGTGGATTTAATTCAAAGAGCTAAGTTGTAAAGAAAAAAAAAAAAAAATCCAGATTTGGACTCACTCACCTTTCCAGCTACAAAAGGCATATCCCCCAAGCATAATCTATAATGTGGTTGTGCAGTAAAATAGTTCTTAGAACCTTTCTGAATGGAAAGGAAAAAAACAAAAACAAAAAACAAGTTTACTCACATGATGATAAGAGATGACCATACACGACTAACCTAAAATTTCAGTGTACTGCTGGGCTACTACTTGTTTTATTGATACTGGCATGTTCTTGAGCTCCTAATAATACCTGACAACATGCCTCCTAGCCTAGGAAAGGCTAGGAAGGAAAAAAACAGTACCTGCCAAAACAGCAAGTACAGTCTAAGAAAGATACATATATGTATATATATATATATATCTCACATATACCTAAAAACACTGTAAGGCCATTAATGCAATACTGAATAATAAAGATCTGAGCAGTGTTTTGGAGTTCTAAAAATTTAGCTTTCATATAGACCATCTCACTATCACGGTAAAAATTTATATGTAGATATTACTTGTCCCCATCTTCCCAATGAAGAAATGGAGAGTGAAGATGTGTAGGAATAATTTCACATAAATTACACTAGTTAATAATCAGCACTTTGACTTACTGGTCCTGTCTTCATACCTTTTCTGGTGGTTTTGCCTTCTTTTTTTTAACTCTCCTTGCACTGGGAACACATGGAGCTGCTTTATCTTCAAAGATAATTCTATTTGTTTCTAGACCAGTCTGCAACTAAGAAAAATAGGACAGCCTAAAGTTAATGCTACAGAAATAAAAGCTGTAAGATTTGCCACGTAAAGATCTGTAAAAACCTGTAATAGTGTCTGACGGAAAAATATATCATAGCTGTGTAACTATGTCTTGAATCAATCTGCGAACATTTGCCAAATATTTTAAATCAATACAAGTCTCTCATTTTATCCTGAAGTGCTGTGTTACAACTTGTCCTTTTTTTTTTTTTTTTTTTTTTGGAAACTTTTAGCTCCATTATTTGTAGTTGCTCCATAAATAATACCTAATGAGCTAAATGCAATATATCTGAATCCAAACGAATGCTTCAATATTTTCTTCTTTTTTTTACACATGGCAATTACAACATCAATGGCAGACACAAAGCAGCTGGAGAGCAAAACACATTTCTCTCTCTTTAAAAACTAATACTCTTACAACATAAGAAAATGAAACCAGAAGTTTTATGTCCAAAAGAACTGGAAGGTATGTCAGCAAATGCTATCACACCCTTTCCTCTAGAAGCTTAGTAACTATATTAACTTAAAAATAGTTTCCTGCACACATGATAGAAATTCCATAACCAATTACTAGGGATCTGAACAAGGACTGGTGGGTGCTTTCCCTACACCAATTTTCAGACTTCCTAAATACATGTATGTATTTGTCTAGAATAATGATTTTCAAATGAGCTTATGTATCAAAATTGTCTGGAGTTTAGGAGAAACATTCAGATTGTCAGGATCCTCTCTGGACCTCATTGTTTTTAAAAGTATTTTCAAGTTCCCCAGGAAATCATAATGGAGTTAGAACACTAAAAACCAATGGATGAGTTAGAAAGAAATACTGAGAATACTAACTCCCACAATGACTGCATTCTTTAGGGATATACTCTATTCAGAGACAAAGGAACACAGGGATGCCTACCCTCGGGAGCATCTACATTCCCACGCATCTAACAATGCTTTATATATTGTAAACTGAATAGACAGAATTTACTGAACATAAAATTACTATTCTGATAAAATTACTACTCTGTAAGACCTATGAAGCCAATGGGTTTGAAGAGTATAAAAAGAACATTTTTTAAAAATGTTTTCACATCCAGTTTATTTGATTCTTCCTGGTAGTGGTCATATATTTGTGTGGCAGAGGTTTCACATTTTAAAGTGCATTAATTACCTTTTCTCTTGTTCGATATCTCCAACACTAGGAAGATATAAAAGGAAGACCACTTCATCAATGGTAAAATCCAAGCTCTGAATGGCTAAATAAGTTCTTAAAAGAGTCTTCAGTTACAAAAATATTGGTTATCTGGTTGGTATATATATAAATTCAATATATATACATTGTGTGGATTCACACTATCTCACCTATTCTACCTGGTGGCCAATGCATGCACTAAAATCAGACTAGGAACAAACAGAGCTCATTTTCCTTATCCAGTAACTTTTGTGAATTGGTGTGTGTTACTAGCTATTCATTGGGGCAACCCACTACCTCAATTTCTGTCCTGGTGTTTTGAGGCCACCAAGGAAAAGGAAAACGTGTAAGTATGGTTTTCCAACATTTCCAACAGTAACCCATGTGAGAAGTTTTACATCATTATGTATTACCTTATTATACGATCTCTGATGGTTTTTAGTCTATTTTTTAAAAGTGCTGATTGAAACACACAACTTGAACAACTCTATAAAACTGCTCAACTTTTACTCTTTGCCTATAAAAATGTATGCTGATAATTTTCTATATAAAGCTATGTATGAGAATTTATATAGTGGACTCCTCCAAAATATAAATGATCTAAGCCCACAATGAATCTTTTGTTTTGATACAAAGCGGTATATGAAATCTGGGGAGCCTGCCTGTTGACACTGCAGCTTACCTGGGCTGCCTTAGCTTGCATACGTTTCCGTTCCTGTTCTTCTTCACGGAGTTTTGTTTCCAATTCTTGCATTTTTTTCTAGTGATACAAATATTAAAAGTGGTTAGTGAAAGACTTAGTGTCTGTCTGTAAAATTGTAATACAGCAACACAGGAATGTGCTATAAAATTTTACCACAGTAAACATAAGCTTGTTCACTCTAGTATAGTCTCTGTGCTTGCCAGTAACCGTGATGCTCTCCTCTGTGATTCATTATTGGTCATTTGTGAAGTAACTGTGAGGTAGTTAAACAGAATTATGGGTAAAATCTATGGCCAAAGAACACAGTTCTGTATGAAGGCATATAGACTACATGGAAGCTAAATTTAGAATTTTAGTCTCAGTGATATTAAATACTTCCCAAGTGAATCAATTAAAACTAAAGAGAACAACTTAAACCAAGTGATACAGGCCTCAGGGATGCTTAAAAACATTTAAGCTTCCAACATTATCAAAAAGAACTTCTTCCTTATGTAAATCAAGATTATAAAATGTGAACAACTCTCTCCAAATTTACATTTCTTCCTCTTAAAAATTCCTATCTCTTTGCTACAAGATCACTCTTCATCTTATGAATAGCCAGTATTATAAAATGATCAATTTTACAAAAGAACCAATATCATGCACTGACTTCTGCCAGGGCCTGCATTGTGGTAAGTTTGTTATATTCCTGTTCAAGAAGATCCAACTTTTCAAGCTGGCTCTGCACATGTGTCTGATCATGTTGTCGTTCTCTTTCAAGGGAAACCTGGGAAAACAGTAATAAACACAAGCATGACAATTTGACAAAAACAAAACACAACTAACACTGGGCATAACTTAGAATATACTATATAGTAATTTTTGGCCTTTCATAGGACTTATATACTACAGAGAAATTCTAGGAGAACAATATTAAGATGAAACCATAGGAAAAAGCAGTAAAAAAAATACAAGTAAAATCCTGGTCTTACCATATACTATTATAACATTTGGCTCTACACAATGAGACTTTTGTTATACTCAGCACAGATGTTTTAGATATAGAGGCTAATATTTTCAATGACTCTTGTTCTCTTACACAGCTTATCTCTCTAATTTAAGGCAATAATTGCATTTTTCATTATCTATAATTTATGCTTCCTCTGAATTCTATATAAGACATTTATTATTATTTTTAGGTTTAGTGTTAAGGCTTTGAAAAGACTGCCACCTGACAGTCACAGGGTAAACCATTAAACTAAGAGAAGTAGCAGAATTAAGCTAAATTGGGGTCTATTAGTAAAGCCAAAACACTAAGGACCTGAATTTATAAACGGTATATCTTCATAGATAAGACTAGAGCAACAGATCATACTAACAGAAATTTGACCGTGACTAAATAAAGCAGTAATATTCCCAGGAATTTGTGTCAATTACTAATCCCTTCCAATGCACCTTAATGGATACTTGCTGCCCTTAAAAAATACATGAAATTAAAAATTGGAAAGCATATTCTATTTCCAGTATTGGAACCATTCTTATGAAATGGGCTATTTAAAACTTACTGATGAAACAAGGTTATTTAATATATATGCTTAATAGATATTAGTCAAAACATCTTTCTAACCTAAGAACTGGAATATCCCAAAGGAGAGAATGACTATATTACTGTATATAATGCTTTGCCATTTCCAATCATGTGGCAGATTGAACAGACTACCCCTTCCCTACTCTATAAATGATCCCAAGTAATTTCAGACTTGGGCTATTATATTGTTGAAAAGTAGAAGCTATAGAAGCTGTGTGCAGAAGATGTGCACTGTGTGTGAGGGTCATCCAAAAAGGGAGCCTCTTTACAGTGATGTTAAAAAAACAAATCACGTTTTTCTCAAAGCTTACACTAGTTGTTTCTCAAAATGAACTACTGGTAATACTATCAGTGATTCAGATTAAAGGAGAAATGATTATTATGACAGAACCATTCGTCTTCACTGAGAAAAAAGATCTTTATGTCAGTCTAATTTCCCCCATAACTATTGCTGAGAATGACTCTGTGAGGCACCATACCTGTTTTTCTAAGACAGATGTCCTCTCCATTTCTGCATGCTTTATCATATTGCGCATGTATTCCAACTGTTTTTCTAAAAGATTACATTTATTTTCTGCAGCTAATAACTGAGATGTCAGTTCTAAACAGAATACATAAACAGAAATTAGTTCACTCAAACACCAGTTGTAACAAGCTTTTAATGGGAAATTAAATCTACTATGTACATAATAAACACTTTCCAGTAGCTCTCGAAGCCTACTCAGATGACCTACATCCATTCTTTCAATATGCTAGTCCAACCTGTCTCGAATTTGGTCAGCAAATATAATACAAGACATCACCACTTGCTCCTCAGAATGTACTCAAGTATAATGCAGTTCTGGAGTGCTCAAAGACACTGACCACTAGGAAACACTAACGTGAATGTGCTTTTAGAATAATTTTACAATACTTATTTTGTGTATTTCATTTTGTACTTTGTGTATTTGTAGGTTTCATTTCCTTCAAAATTAAACAAACCTTGATTATGCTTTGACTCTTCATTCTTTGAATTCTCTCTTTCTTGAATTTGTTCATCCAATACTTTCTTATATTCAATTGTTTCTCTAGACAAGGTTTTCACACTTTCTTCTGCCTGAATCCTTTCCAGTTCTAAGCGTCGTATCTTATCTTGAAGATTCTTCAGAGCAGAAAATATGGCTGCCAAATCCAAACATGAATAATATAACAATACATATGGAGAAAGTTCAATAAAAAAAACATACTTATCTTGGGGCGCCTAGGTGGCTCAGTCAGTTAAGCATCTGACTTTGGCTCAGGTCATGATCTTGTGGATGGTGAGTTCGAGCCCGACCAACAGGCTCTATGCTGACAGCAGAGACTGCTTTGGATCCTCTGTCTCCCCCTCTCTCTGCCCTTCCCTGGCTTGCCCTTCCCCTTCTCTACTCTCTCAAAAGTAAACATTAAAAAAATTATTTTTAAATATACTCATCTAAATAAAAAATAAAATGGATGGGTGGGCCCAGGGTAGAATCACAGTTTGGGAACAATGGAATGTTGATTATTGCCACATAATTGTTTTTTTAAAAAAATCCACTTAAGAATATCTTCTGAGTCTCTGAAATGTGCTAGGTACTCAAGTAAACAAATTATTATGGTAAAACATTTCAAAGATTTTATAAAATGGTAAAAATATTTAGCTAATCATACAAAATTCATATGTAACCTAAAGTATATTGTCAATCTTTTTATTTTTATTAATAAGATCATATGCAGAACCAATTATAGACTTAAAGATATCAAGCACAAAAAGGATGATTTTTTTAAGTCTCAATTTTTTCACTATATAGGAAAAATCCTAAACATTCTTTAAACTGACCTCCAAAAGTTTCTGATTATAAAATATATAAAAGAATATATATACAAAAGGAAGTATGCATATATATACGTATATATATACGCATATATGCGCATATATATATATGCACATAAAGAAGAACTTCTAATCCTACTACCAAGAAATAATGACTCTCATTTTTGGTTATTTCTTTCAATCTCTATTTCTTTTTTACTTTAGCACTATAAAACTTTGGGCATTCTCTCATATAATCAGATTATCATCTTAAAAGATTATCTCTTATAATCAATTAAAAATTAAAAATGAAGTTACTGAGTCTAAGAATATCCATATTTGAAGTATCTGTATTTCAAAGGCTCTTGAAAGTAAAGTACCTTCATAAAAGGTTGTATGAATTTATGCTTTCATTAGAAGTATGTGTCTTTACCAACACACCCCACTATTAATTACAATACCTCTGTTAGTCTGATTAAGAAACAAAAGCTACTTCTGGTTATTTTATTTTGCATTTCTATTAAAAGTTCAAAGATTTTTAAATACATATTATGGCCAATTTTCTTTTGAATTCCTTAAGAAAAAGTCCCCCGTTCCATTTTATTAGTTTATTAATTCTAGTTTAGATACGGTCAGCTTTGGTATAAACCTGTTCTGATTTTTCATATCATTATAATCAACAGTCTTTTGCATCACATTCTTTACAAAGATAGAATGCTCTTCAATGCCAAGAATACATAAACTTTGCATTTTCCTTTTATCATACTTAGTTTCACATATTCTTACATTTAATTCTTTACGTGAAATAAAAGATACTTTTGTATTGAAAGAGGAACTTTTAATGGTGACTGCCTCATATACCAAATTCACACAAGTACTAATATATATAGATATCGTTATTACTTACACACACATACCTACTACCACAGTCTCACACACATACCAAAAATCAGTTTCATTCCTTTAATCTGATTTTATTATTATTCCAGTATTTTAACTACTAAAACCTTATAAACATCATAGTGCCAGTCTCCCACATTATACAAATTTTTAAAACATTTCAAGGTTATTTATTCTTACCAATTAAATATTCAGAACCATTTTGCCTAAACAATGATTTCCATGAAACTTCATGGAAACCACATATTATGTAGGAAGAACTGCCATCTTTTAAAAATTGAGGATTCTCACTCAAAATAAGGCACACTTTTCCATTTATTGATGCAATTCATTCATTCACCAAAGTTTTAGTGCCTAGAATGTTATAGGCCCCAAACAGGAGACTGAAACATTTTATAATATAACCAGCTTACTCCTAGCATGCAGTGAGATTACAGTGTAATTAGAAAGAACATAAACATGAAACACATACAACCTAGAGACCTAAAAATTTCTTATAGTCTTCTATAAGAATAAGAAAAGAGGGGGCGCCTGGGTGGCTCAGTCAGTTGGGCGTCTGACTCCAGCTTAGGTCATGATCTCCTTGTTCGTGGGTTCGAGCCCCGTGTCAGGCTCTGTGCTGACAGCTAGCTCAGAGCCTGGAGCCTGCTTCAGATTCTGTCTCCCTCTCTCTCTGCCCCGCCCCAACTCACGCTCATACACATGCACTCTCTCAAAACTAAACATGCAAAAAAAAGTTTTTAATAAAACTTTGTAATACCAAACATTTGTTACATTCCTTCATTAGATTATATGTAATAGTGTATGATCTTGCTAGTATTTTATTTTTGCACTTTTAGTTATGAGTGCAGTTGGCTGGAACACACCATTTCTGTTTTATATGTCAGCAATGATAGTATCACAGAGATGTACTGGATTAACAAAAAGACCCGATGCGGGGTATATGCTTGCCTTTACTACATTCTGGAGAATGGCTTATATATCTCCCCAAAATTATTTGTCTAAACATTCTTCAACAGTAACCAAAAAAATGGAAAGGTATACCATGCTCATGGATTGAAACAATATTGTTAAAATGTCCATATTACTCAAAGGAATCTACAGATTCAGTGCAATCTTTATCAAAATACTAACTCTGTTATTCATAGAACTAGAACAAATAATCCTAAAATTTGTATGGAACCACAAAAGACCCTAAATAGCCAAAGCCATCTTGAGAAAGAGAAACAAAGCTCGAGGTATCACAATCTCAGATTTCAAGGCAGACTACAAAGCCGTAATCATCAAAGCACTACGGTATTGGGACATAAATAAACACACAGATCAACGGAAAAGGGTAGAGAGTCCAAAAATAAACCTACACTTATATGATCCATTAATCTATGACAAAGGAGGCAAGAATATACACTGGGAAAAAGATGGTCTCTTCAATAAATGGTATTGGAAAAAGTGGACAGTTCCATGCAAAAGAATGAAACTGGACCACTTTCTTTCACCATACCCCAAAATAAACTCAAAATGGATTAAGACCTAAATGTAAGGCCTAAAGCTATAGAACTCCTAAAAGAAAATACAGGCAGTAATCTCATGGACACCAGCCTTAACATTTTTATGGATATGTCTCCTTAGGCCAAAGAAACAAAAGCAAAAATAAATTAGTGGGACTCTATCAAGCTAAAAAGCTTTTACACAGCAAAGAAGCCATCAACAAAATGAAAAGGCAGCCTACCGGAATGGGAAAGATATTTGCAAATCATATATCTGATCAGCAGTTAATATCCAAAATATACAGAGAACTCCTAGAACTAAACAATAAAAACCCCACAAATGATCCAACTAAAAATGGGCAGAAGATCTGAATAGACATTTCCAAAGAAGCCATACAGATGGCCAACAGACACATGAAGAGATGTTCAACATCACTAACCATCAGGGAAATGCAAGTCAAAACCAGAGTAAGATATCACTTCACACTACTCAGAACAGCTAGATCAATGAGACAAGAAATGACAAATGTTGAACAAGGATGTGAAAAATGATCCCTCACACACTGTTGATAATATAAACGGAGGAAGCCATTATGGAAACATTATGGAGGACTCCTCAAAACAATAAAAAAGGAAGTATCATATGATCTGGTGATTCCCCTACTGAGCATTTACCCAAAGAAAACAAAAACACTAATTTTAAAAAATATATGCACTCCTATGTTTATTGAAGCATTATTTATAACAGCTAAGATACAGAAGCAAATTGAAGTGTCCACCCATAGATGAATAAAAATATATATAAAATGAAATATTACATATTCCATACATATATGCATAATAGATTAATATGTATATACAATGGAATATTACTCAGCCATAAAAAAGAACAAAATCTTGCCAATACATGATAACAAAGGTGGACCTAGAAAGTACTATGCTACATGAAATAATCCAGTGAAAGACAAATACCCTATGATTTCACCTGTATGTGGAGTCCAAAACAAACAAAAACAACAAAAACCCCACAACTGACAAACAAACAAAAACAGAAACAGACTCATAAATATAGAGAACCTGGAGCTGCCAGAAGGAAGGAGTGGGAGATGGGCAAAATAGGTGAAGGGGATTAAGTGATACAAACTCCAGTTATGAAATAAGTTAAGTCACGGGGATGAAAAATACATCATAGGCAACATAGCCAATAATACTGTAAGAACACTGTATGGTGACAGATAGCAAACTACACTTACTGTGGTGAGAACAGTAGAATATACAGAAGTGTCCAATCACTATGCTGCACACCTGAAACTAACGTAACACTGTATGTCAACTATACTTCAATTAGAAAATAAATTCTCAAGCAAAAAAGTTTATACAGAAGGCCTGAACCTTGGCTAGCCTCTGGAAACCAGGCTCTTGGAATGCTCCCTGTGTTACTAATTAATAAGGTTGTTTTGTATCCTAAGGCACTAAATCCTGCTGCGCAAGCCTGTCTCGATCGTGTAAACAATGTGTTTCATGGTGAAAAGCATGACTGTGCAGGCGCCAAGTATTTGTGTGACCAACTCCAAATAAAAGCCATAGTGTCTGAGCCGTAAGTGGGCTTTCCTGGGCAGAAACACTGCACACATCATACGCTTTACTGCTGTAGGAAGAAGTGTCTTTCTGTGTGACCTCCATGAGAGAGAAATTTAGAAGCCTGCATCTAGGTTTCTTCAGATTCTACTATAATAAGCCATGGCCATAATTACAACTACTTCTAAAACTTGTGAGGTCAAAAAAATAAATAAATAAAAAGGGGCACCTAGGTGGCTCAGTTGGTTAAGTGTCCGATTTCAGCTCAGGTCATGATCTCACAGTTCGTGGGTTCAAACCCCATGTCGGGCTCTGTGCTGATATGAAAAATTCACCAATGTTTTCAGATTCCACAATGCAACTAAATTTTAAGAAACTACCATTGGCCAAGTTTTGGAGTAATAGCAAATAAAAATATCCACAAACTATTGTAAAGATTAAAATATTACTTCCTTTCTACCTACATATCTGTGTAAGGCCGGATTTTTTTTCATATACTTCAATCAAAACAACTTGTCAATACAAATGGAATGCAATAAATAGAGGAGAATCAAGCTGTCTTCTATTAAGCCAGAAATAAGAGATTTACAAAGTGTAAAATAAAATAAAACAACATCACTTTTAGCAGTATATATTTTTTTTAAGTGGAAAAGAATTATTCTTCATTAAAATTTTTACATAAACATGTAATGGGTTTATTAGGGTTTTCTAGATTTAAAAAATTAAGAACAGATGCTTCAGAAGAACAGATGGCCAGTAAATTGTTATCAATACCCAATACAATAGCCAGAACTTGACCTCTCTAACAGATCACAAAAATACGGACGTTCTTCCAAGAGGTGTGATACATATATTCACATTACCACACAACCACATTTTGCTCTTTTTTAAAATTTGTGTTGAATCACTAGTACTAGGCCAACTGTATTTACTAATGATTCTCTAGATAAAAGAAGTGTTATATTTCAACCACATATAGGTTAAACAGACATTTGTAAACTGTGAACTGATTACGTAGTAAAATAAAAGGTAGACAGTAATATCTAAGTATAGTTACCAATATAAAAACCTAGGCTAAAATGAGGTTTCAAAAGTGTTTACTGAGATAAATTTAACCAGAAATCTGGTTTTTTGTTTGTTTTGTTTTTTAACATTTATTCATTTTTCAGAGACAGACGAGAGAGAGAGAGAGAGAGAGAGAATGGGGGAGGGGCAGAGAGAGAGGGAGAGACAGAATCCGAAGCCGACTCCAGCTCTGAGCTGTCAGCACAGAGCCTGATGTGGGGCTCAAACCCACAGACCACAAGATTATGACCTGAGGTGAAGTCAGATGCTTAACCGACTAAGCCACCCAAGCGCCCCAAAGCCATGGTGTTTGTTTAATATATTTTATACTCAATTTACTAACTAGAAACCTCTTATTTATAGGATATGGTGTCTCAAAGATAATGATAATAAAGTGCTAATTAAAGCAAGTGATAAAGTGATACTCATCAGAACACAGTAGTTAATTAAAGACTCTGGCAATTTCAAAAAATAAAGGTCGCAAACATTCAAACATATGACAAAAAAGCAAAAAACTAAATATGCAAAGCCCACAGTGGATTAAGAATCAGGTAAGATTTAGTAATAATTTAGCACATACACAAAATAATCATGCTAACAGAGTTCTAGCATGAATACACAGTCAAGAAATTAGATTATCAATCTTCTCACTACAACATTACATCTAGTTCTGATCTTTACCTCTATATAAAGAAACTTTAAAAAAAAAAAAAGTTCAAAGAAAATTTCTAAAGAATAAAAGAATAAAAGTTAAACAGAACAGATTTATTCATAGAGCAGAGTCAGAAAATGTTTATTTAGGGGTGCCTGGGTGGCTCAGCTGGTTAAGCGTCCGACTTCGACTCAAGTCATGATCTCATGGTTCGTGAGTTTGGGCCCCATGTCCGGCTCTGTGCTGACAGCTCAGAGCCTGGATCCTGCTTCAGATTCTGTGTCCCCCTTTCTGTCTGCCCCTCCCCTACCAGTGCGTGCACTCTCTCTCTATTTCTCTCTCTCTCTCAAAAAAAAACAAACATTAAGAAAAATTTTAAAAAAAGAAAATATTTATTTAGCCCAGTGTATTAGGAATAATGCTAAATTCTGCTTGTGTATCTTTAGTGGTTTTAATGAATATGAGAAAGAAAAGCAAAAAGGAGACGGAAGAAGAAGGTAAACAAAAGAAAAAATAATGTGTAAGATAGTAAATAGCTTCTTTTATCCTTCAGAGCATGGTGTTGCAAACTGTTTGATTAGGATTCATTAAGCTTTTATAGTGGTTTTTTTTATCAGTCCAGTAACATCTACAATTCTACAACAGAAAGATTTCAGTAAGAGAGCACAAAATGAGAAAGACTTGTAAGCTTGACACATGGCTGGTGTGGTAGCCAGAATGGACACCCAAAGATACCTATGTCCTAATCCTTGAAATTCTGAACACCTGCTATATAGCATAAAGGATTTTGGGAAAGGTTACTAAAATTACAAACCTCATAATACGGAGATTCCTGACTGTCAGCCCAACGTACCCAATCACATGAACCCTTAAAAGCGGACAATTTTCCTCAGCTGTGGTTAGAAAGATGCAGCAGCAGAAGTCAGAATCATATGACGCACGGGAGAGACCTGACCCACCATTCCTGAAGGGGGTCATAAAGAATGCATGGCAAGGAATGCAGGCAGCCTCTAGGAGCAAAATCCGGCCCTGACTGCGAGTCTGGAAGACAATGGAACCTCAACTCCATAACCACAAATAACTTACTTCGAACAAAAATCTGAATAAGCTGAGAACAGATTCTTCCCTAGACTCTCCAGTAAGAAACACAGCCCAGTCAACACTTTTGATTTCAGCCTCATAGGGCCCTGAACAAAGCCCATCCACATTTCTGACCTACAGTAAGTATGCGATAATACATTTGTGTCATTTAAAGATGCTGAATTATGGTAATTTTTTAAGACAGCAAGAAAGCTAATACAAATGGCAAGTTAAACGAATATATACACAGGTATTTCAAAGAAACCAGAGCAAAGGATGTATGGGTAAGGAAGAACAGAAGAGAAGCAAGAGATGAAACTGGTAAGGTATATAGAATCCAGTTTATGAAAAAAAATCTAAGAATCTGTTATGTAAGCCATGAGGAGGTACTGAAATTTATTTAAAGTGGGAGAGACGATGGATAACAGCAAATTGCAGGAACACTGTTAAATGGGGCTGAAAGGGAGACCACAGGCTAAGCAATTATTTAGGAGTGCATTACAATTATCTATGCAATAGATGATAAGAGCCTGAACTAAAGCAATGACAATGGAGAGAAGAACAAATAAGTCTTTGGGATACTTCAGAGGCAAAACACCAGTTTTCGGTCCAGACAGAGCAGTCAAGAATTCTCAAAGTATTTAGCCTTGATGATTTGGTGGAAGATACTGTTCAACAATCAATGAACAAAAGAAAGGTACTATATTTAGAGAAGGGTAAAAACAGCAAAGGGAAAATAGACTTTCCTCTAATTTTAAAATACATGGAAGACGTAAGAGCTTTTAAGTAGTGGGTAAACAAATAAACAACAAAAAAAAAGCCATCTGTTTTGTTAGGCTCTATTACCTCTGCTGTTACTTTCTGGATAGGCAAACGTAGGCTTATTTGGGGAGCGTCGTAGATCACTATTAAGGAAAGGCTTATCAGGCGGATATACTACATATGGAGATGAGGAATGGCGAACCACACTTCCATTAGACCTTGATGGTTCAGCTAAGATGTTCTGAAAAATAAAAATACAAAAATTACTTTCCAAATTTTAAAATGCAAATAGGATATAAATACACAGACACATTTATTCATGACTGAGAACTGTATTGCCTGTGTTCCACTGATAGAGATAACAGAAAAAATAGAGCCCACTGACTATATAACAGAATTCAATCATTACTTTAATAAAGTTTTCAAAGTGTTTCACATTTGACTAACTATAGCCATTTGCCAGACACTATAAAAAGGAAATATCATTCACATAATTTGAATACGAATACTATAAAGAAATACTTAAATATACTCACAATAAGTTTAATATAGTTTACTTAAAACTATGTATTATAAAATATACTCAGAAAAGTAAATATTTTTATATTACCTGAAACTGTTACAAAATGACTGAATTAATCTATGCCCACTCAACTAAATATTTTATGAATATTTATCAAATATCCAAGACTCTGCAGTATATAGAAAGAAAGGCATAGTCCTTGCCTCAAAAAATTTACATTTACTTAGGGAAAAAAAGTGGGAGAGGGATTTAATTAGAAGACATTAAAGCTTATCAAATACCCAAAAATATAAAATTTTATTCCCACACAAATGGATATTTTATTTCCATTCATCTTGTCATGGATGGGATTCTGTTCAATTCGGGATTGTGTTCCGCATGATTTCAGTGCAGGGATGCAAACTGTGGCAGCTTGTTAGTTGTAGGTGACTTCCTACCGGTAGGCAGACCAGGAGTGGGGGAAATAGTGGAGAAACTGAAAGCTAAGGTGGAAGATAGAACCGTTAACTGTTCAAAATTCTCAGATATTAATTTTTCTTATTCAAATAACCAGAGCAAAATAGTTCTCAACTGTTACCTTGGAGAACTACACTATACAGCTCCAGAACAATCTATGTCCAGAAAAGAACAAAGGGAGAATGAATACTTACAAAAATGGTAAACAATCTCCTGGAATAAACAAAGGCAATCAAGATAACCATACTGTATCTGCAACTTATTAAAAAATTAAAGACTATTTCCATATAAAATGATGCAATTTTCCCACTGATTTAAGAAAGCAAATACAGGGGCACCTAGGTGGCCCAGTCAGTTAAGCATTCAACCTCGGATCAGGTCACGATCCCACGGTTTGTAGGTTCGAGCCCCGCATCAGGCTCAGAGCCTGGGGCCTGCTTCAGATTCTGTATATCCCTTTTTCTCTGACCCTCCCCTACTCATGCTGTATCTCTCTCTCTCTCAGAAATAAATAAAAACATTTAAAAAATTTTTGTAAGTAAGAAAATACAGAACACGTTATGGCTATGAAAACTCAAGAAGAGGGCAAAGAGCTTGGAAGGGGTAGGGGTAAAGTCTCAAAGCGGTACTCAAGTATATTAATGTTAAGTAGATATAAAAAGCGTGTTCACATGTACAGGATTAAGAGTTGGCATTTTTCAAACTTTCTGTAAAGCTGACAGGTTTTGGAGATGGCTGGAAAACAGGGTAAGAGTTCAATTCTTAAAATATGTAACACTGCTAAAGCTCTTACAAAGCACCATAAATTGTCACTTAGCTTAATTTTAAATATAATTCTTCACAGAGAACCTTATCTTCACACAACCTACTAGAATCCTATTATTTAACAACAACTACCATTCAAAGTCACTGGTTAGGAAGTATTCCTTAACAATTTATATTTATGAACATAAGTCACCTGTATATTCACTTAAGATGTTCAAAACAATTTTTATTAGAATTACTGAACACTGCAGACATTACATAACTATACATAAAGGATTTACCCAAAAAACCCAAACTGAAACAAATGAAAATAAACCATCTTCATTAAATTCACTGCCTATTAGCTCTCATAAAACTAAGAGTTCCAAATTTTTCCTTTTTGAAACATGTCTCCAAAGAAGATATTCGAAAGGCCAACAGATACATGAAAAGACGTTCAACATCCATTAGTCATGAGGGCAATGCAAATTAAAACCACAACAATAACATCTCACACCTGTTGAGAATGGCCATCATCAAAAAGATGTGGAGAAAAGGAAACTCATCTGCGCTGTTCTGGGATTGTAAATTGGTAGAGCCACTATGGAAAACAGTGCAGAGCTGTGGCACATACAATGGAACATTATTCAGCCATAACAAAACAAGAAAACCCTACCATTTGCAAAAAGCATGGATGAACCTTGAAGGCAATATACTAAGTGAAGTCAGACACAGAAAGACAAATACTTATGAACTCACTTATATGTAGAATCTACAACCAACAAAAAAACCACTCTATGGAAAAAGAAATCAGACCTGTGGTTACCAGAGTGGAAAAGCTGGGAAAAAGGGGAATTAGAGGAAGGTGGCCAAAAGGTACAGGCTTCCAGTTATGAGTATTAAGGACGTAAGATACAACATGATGTCCGCAGCTGACATGGCTGTATGATTATGAGAGAGTTGTCAAGAGTTGCCTAAAAGTTCTCATCACGAGGAAAAAAAATTTTCTTTTCTTTGTATCTGTATGAGAAGAGGGATGTTAGGTAAACCTACTGTGGTAATCACTTCACAATATATGTAAAACCATCATGTTGTATGCCTTAAACTAGGACAGTGACAAATGTCAATTATTTCTCAAAACTAGGTAGGAGGAAGATTTGTCTTTCAACAAAATCTGTCACATATATATCATAAAAATATTGCTCAGGTTGGGTCAGCAAATTATGAAAGTGCTTTCTATATAAAAATTCAAGTCATAATGGAATACTTCTGCAAAGCTATTCAACATGTATTCCATTTTCTATGTCAGCCATCTCATTTTGGATGTTTGGGTTTTAGCAAAGAAAATTCATTGTTACTATGAATGGGTTGGGTCAATGTCCTCTTCTGCTACCAGCGGTTTAAAGCACAGAAAGAATACACAGATCAGCCAAAAGAAAAAGAAAGACAGAAAATAAAATGGCCTTGTAAAAATTATTTACAAGAACTATTTTGAAATAAAATTAAACCAAGAAACACAAAACTGGCAACTCTTCATTATATATACACACAAATGTGTCTAATAAAATAGTAAAGGATAAAATGTGGTACATGCATACAATATTATTCAGCCTTAAAAAAGGAGGGAAATCTCATTATCTGCTACATAATTGATGAACCTGGAGGACATGCTTAGTGAAATAAGCCAGTCCAAAAAAGACAAATACCTCATGATTCTACTTAAAAAAAATTTTTTTAACGTTATTTTTGGGAGTGAGAAAGAACGCAAGAGAGTGAGAGAGCGCGCACCCAAGTGGGAGGCGGGCAAAGAGAGAGGGAGACACAGAATATGAAGGAGGCATCAGGCTATGAGCTGTCAGCGCAGACCCCAACAGGGGACTCAAACTTCCAAATTATGAGATCATAACCAAAGGCAAAGTCAGACACTTAACCAACTGAGCTACCCAGATGCCCCATCTACTTACATAAGGTATCTAAAGTAGTAAAATTCATAGAAACAGAAAGCAGAATGGTGGCTACCAGGGGCAAGGAAGGTTGCAAAGGGGAGCTGTTTAATAGAGTTCTGAAAGATGAAAAAGTCTGGAGATGCTTCACAACAATATGAACATACTTAACACTACTGAACTGTACAATTAAAAATTAAGATGACAAAGTGTTAGGTAAACACCTAAGAATAATAATGTAATTAGAAAAAATAGTATGTGTTCTTAATGGTAAGTTTTTCCAAGCGAGAAAAACAATTGGGGATAAGTCATAAACTTCAGGGATTAGAAAAGTAATATTTTTAAGAGTTGGAAAGAACCATAAAAACAATCTAGTACACTTCCTTATTAAAGGAAGTTCCAAACAGCTGACCTGCTATCTCACCTCCCCCTACAGAATCAGGGGAATCATATTCTAGGTGAATCAGTGAATTAACCAGTTCTCAAAAGCGAACCACCAGCCTAACTACACCTGTTCTCATATATTCTGCCTTCCCTTCCATGAAACAAGGAATGAAGGGTCTTTAATGGACCTATCTCCATCTACCTGTTCAGTCTTGGTTCTTATAAAACCCTTTCTCCTCCTGATGGTATTTCTCCCTTACTAGATCTTTCACACTGTCATTAAGGACAAAACAAACAAAAGCTTTCCTGAATTTTAGGATTTAGCTAAGCTCTTGCCAGCTCTTCCACTCTTGCCTCATTTCTCAGGTTTTACAACAAAGTCCTCAAACTACTATTTGTAATTGCTGCTGCCTCTTGATCCTCACCTTCTTACCCTTTCCGATCAGACTTGAATCTTCACCAATTCAAAGAAAAAGTTCATCAAGCTCACCAATGACTTATATTGCTGAATTTGGTGACCTTTCAGCATGTGATACAGATCACTTCATCTCACCACTTTCCTTAAAAGATAGACCACATTCTTTGGTTTTCCTAATACTTAGGTATCTTCCTGAGAATCTCTCTGGCTCTCTCATTCCTCTTTTAAAATGCTGCAGTGCCCCAAAGCTTAGTCCTTCCACCTCTTCTGGTTTTCTTCTAAATGAATTCCTTTGATGATCTCATTTCATTTTCATCTACATGGGTTCCTTTGATCTTCTCAATATTAAGGGCTTCGAAAAGCCTCTATTTGTGAGATTTTCAAATTTAAATATGGAATCCAGAGCTCCCTCTCTCGAACTCTATATTCAAATTAAATTTCCTATTCATTATCTACACTTTGAAGTCAATATGGGCACCTCAAATTTCACAGGTCTGTGACAAATTCTTGAACCAGACTGCCAAAACCTGCTCCGCTCCCAGCATACCACAACCATCAGCACCACCATTCACCCAGCCGCTCAGGTCAAAACTCCCGATGGAGTCATTTCTCATACACCCCACATCTAATCTCTCAGCATATTTAGTTGGGCGTCTGTCTTCAAAATATGAAACTTGCCAATTTCTCATCAATTCCACTATTAATACGCTGGTTGACACCACTGTGATCTTTTGTCTAGACTGCCATTAACAGTCTCCTAACCACTCTTGTCC